TGGGTGGGTGGGTGCGTGGGTGGGTGTGTGGGTGTGTGTGTGTGTGTGGCGAAATGCTCACTGCTGTGAGGGTGTTGAAAGCCTTGGCCAAGGCTTGCAGCATGCCCTCTGGCTGTGCGTCGTGACGATGACGACTGTCGGCTATGGCGACTCCGCCGAAATGGTTCAAGTTCTTTGCGGTGTGTCGTGCCCTGGGAGCGGACTGACAGAGGGCTCTGTGTTGCTGAAGGATCAGGTCCCAGTAAATGTGTGCATGTGCGTATGCATGTGTATATATACATATATATATATGTATAGAGATGCTGATCTATCTCTGTGTGTGGACCCATGTATCCACACGTATATGCATGTGTACACATTGGTATGTAGGGAAACGCGCGCGCGCGGGTGTGTGTGTGTGTGTGCGTGCATGCACGATGATTTCTTTGTCATTTGTGTCGCTGGTTGCGATTGTTTGCATCATGCAAACCATCCAGGTGATTATGTTCCGAAGACGGCTGGAGGCTACGTCGTTGTGCACCTTATCCTTTTATTGACACCTCACAGGTTTGAATGCCTACAAAAATGTACTGGTAGTGCTTGGGCTTGTTTCACAAGCTGCTCAATCTTTGACCTTGGAGATTGTCCAAGGTCCGTGCTTGTGATCGTTTCCGTCTTGTTTGTTGCTATGCCGGCGCCAGATCTGCAGAGACGTAGATCTTCCAGCATGCGAATAGCTGCAGTTGAGAAGCTCTCCGTTTGCCTCGTCCATTCTAGGTGGGAATTATTGGCCACGAGTTCACAAGCTGCTGGCAGACTCGGGACCGTGTCCTCTGCATCACAAGAGCCCGGCAAGCCATGGTCAAGTGGGGGTACAGTGCCAATGATGCCACGTGGCTGCGTGCAGCCTCTTTACCTCTTTCTTGCGAGTGTTGCCTGCTCCTCTTCCGCCTGTTAACCACCCCCGTCTCACCACTTCCTCCGACGATCGCGCCAGTTTCCGAATGCCCTATTCATATCCCCTTGTGCTCTGCTGCGTTCTAGTGACCTACGTGCCCTTGCCGTAAAACTGGAAGAGCTGGTACCTGGTAGATGCTTTTTTTGAGGTGAAGGCACTGTTCGAGTATGTCGACATGGATCACGATGGGAACTTGGACCTCCTCGAGTTCATAGAGCCCTCGGCTCGGCAGGCACAATACAGGGGCGGGGTTCCTGGCTTCTTGACCTTGGTCTCAGGCTTGTCCGGCAGATGCGAGTCGGCTTGAGTGTGGTGCCTTTGCTGCTCTGCGGGCTTTTGTGCTAGGAGTAGTGCAGGCAAATCTGTGTGATTTAAGCGCTTGCTTGTCAGTGCCCGGTGCCTTCACATGGCTCAGGAGCGGTCCATCGGACTGTTTATGCTGAGCCTCGTCTGGTGCAGTCGGGAAAGTGCACGGTTCGGTTTGTGAACTGAATCATTAGAAATTCGAGCGCTCTTCTACGCTCGTTCGCATTGATGGCCGAGGTTTGATGACAATCAGAATGGAAGCATTAATTACATGGAGCTCCTTTGCTGAACAAAATGACAGAGTGGCGTGTTGCTGGCTGGCACGGCCTGATTTCATCAGAGGTTCGTGAGACACGTTTTTCCGCAAGAGTTCGTCGAGGAGGGAGCTGCAGCAGTACACAAGCGATGCACTCCGATGGAGAGCCCTGGGCAGCATGACTTCAGAAAGCTCCGCACGAGGAGGCGAGAAAGGACGTGCAGCAGTTCCAATCCAGCGACAAGGTCCATGCGAGAAATCGACTCTTCTTGACGTCTGACAGCTTGAGAGACTGCAAGCCTTGGCCTCCTCCGGCCTCTGGCTTGTGTGAGGTGCATGACGCCTTGGAAGCGCTCACTGCCGCCAAAGGTCCGCATAGCAGCACTGAGCTGCTCGGCCGTCACGGCACCGTAGCCCTCATGAAGCCCTGCCGAAACAACCCTCGGTCTTTGGATTCTGCTCTGCGCTCTGGGCCAAGGTGATGGCGAAGCCACGTGAAGCCAGAAGCGGGTGGAGAAATCCCGGCTCCATGCTCCAGGGGGCCGCTCCCGGTTCGCCAAGGATGGTTTTTGATCCCTGGCGGGACATGGTCTGATACGTCGTTCAAGAGGACAGCTTCTTGGGCAGAAATGCTATGCCCCAGCTGTCGGTTTTGCGCAAGTTTTCCGAATTCTCGCAATGGATCACAGCCTGTGCCCTCAGCGATCAGCTCAGCAGCACTTGCCGCACGCAGTTCGCTGACTGATGGGCTGAGTGGGTGGTGGGCACCTGTTTCAGCAAATCTGTTTTTGCACTCAAGCTCCATTGCCGGGGTTTCGATTAGGGCCCGCTGCCTAGCACACCACGATCTGTGGGCAGAAGCCCCAACCATGATCCAGCAGGGCGTCGAACGTGGCGCTTGTGCACTTATTCACTTGCTGGCCAGCATGCTAAGCATCAGTTGGCAGTCGGTGGCATGTTAAGTTTATCTCTGACCCCAAGCCTTGAATGGCCTCCTGGGGTTTGCGGCGAGCAAAGACGGCTGACGAGTTTCGCACTTGCTGAGCCATTGCTTGTCTCAGCGCCATCCTGACCAGGATCCTCAGGCATACCGACCTTCGACGCCCGTGAAGCGCTACCGAGCTACTTGGCCTTTTTTTGGCGCTAGATGCTTCCTGTACAGTCGTGTAGCCCAGATCGAGCAGGTCACATGGATAGCCCGAGGTCCGGCTTGCAGCAAGCACGGGTACTGGACCCACTGCGGAGCTGGAGGTGGAGTTGCCGGTGCTACAGCCACTTAAAACTACGTCCGGAGCCTCCTCGCTAGGTGAGCTACGGTCGGCTATACCCATCAGAGACGCTCGCTCCCCATGGCTTTGCTTGAAGTGTGAATGGTATCCCATCGAGACAGGCCCTGCCTCCTTGTGGACAAGGCCAGGATGCCTGCGCTGCTGTGGGCCCCTTCTTTTTTGTCAGATGCAGAAGAGGTGGACAACTTGGCCAAGGAAGCCTGGTTGGAGCTGACACGGCGAGTTGTCGATGAGGCACAGCCTTTGGTACGGAAGTTCCTTTTCTGGGGAGGGAACTAGATAGATTCGTTGCCGCCTGGGTTTTTGCAGACCCATGATTTTCATCATATCTACAGTCGAACAACCTCAAACGCTGCTAAAGTACATGCAGCATTACACGACAAAGTAGCGTTCACTTCTTCTCCTGAGTGAAGTATTCAAGGTCAGGCTCAGCCTGTGCATAGTCAGACGTCAACGGTACGATACCACGATATTGATTGGCTACGCATTCAATTTTCTCCCCACTGCAACTTTCACAGGCAGGAGACACCGTGCACAGCACGTATTCAACGTATTCCTTACTTTATCAAGCCATGTCCTGGCATACACTCGACCCGTCCCTCACGGAGCCGTCTATCTTATCCCTGCAAGATTTTTCATCCTATCAAGCCAATCCACCCAACACCAGAGCTTAACGCAGCATCGGCTTTGGCACGCAATGTTTGTTTGTTGGAGAACATGTACGTACTGAAAGAGCGTAATCAGTTGGCAAAGTGCGTAGGATGCTGACTAGGTGTTTAGGCAAATGCCCTGTTGCTGCATGTCGACAAATTGGCTACCTGTCGTAGCTGACTCAAACCCTGCTTGTGAGCATGTGCATGTCCTGCTAGCTGCTATAGGTACTGTAGCTTTGGTTATGACCCATGGTCTACAACCCAAATACCAAGTATGTGGATCAGTGCGAAAGTGGACATCTGTTTGTTATGGGGCCGCTGCCGCTGAAGCCTCGCTCGGGGAATGACAAAGCGCCACAAATCCAGTAGTCCAGGCCCTTGCATGATCTTGCATGGCCTGCATCTCCACAGGTATCCGTATCAGAAATCTCTTTGGTTTGATATACAATCCCTTATCATCCCTTCATATCCCTCGGGTCCTCTACTGTGGTTATAATGGTGGCCGAAACTGGACCGTATCCGTATCCGAAATCTTGTTGGTTTGGTTTACAATCCCTTCATATCCCTTGGGTCCTCTAATATGGTTATAATCGTGGCGAAGACTGGACCTCTGACCTATGTAGCAGCATCACGTGTGTTTACACGAGAAGACAGGCATACGCGCATATGCACCATTTGCCACATAAGTAACCCTTGTGTTTATGGACAATTCATCTGTTTATACACAAGGCCAGGTGTTTAATAAGCAACGGACCATGTAGCATTATGTTTCCCCATAAGCAGAAACACCGTAAATGCCAGCCAGTGTTTTCATAGCTTTCTCGGTCCAAAAAGGTCTTGGCCTAAACCACACAAGCCGACACTTGGAGAAACTCCTACATATCAGCCTGTCAGTGTGCAAAATTACAACACCACCGCCCTGTCCCCCCCGGGACGCAACGTAATGCGAACGAACAGACGAACAACCAGCACGTGTCAGACAAGAGTTGAACATGCAGCTCCAGATAATAAGCGTATAAGAAAACGAGGCACGTGACAATGAACAAATCCAACAAGCTCAAAACGCTGAGGGCAAGTAGACAGAAACGCAGTGTTTATGAACAAACCCTGTGTTTGTGAGCAGACCTGTTGTTTGTAACAACTCAGAGTTGATGTTGTAGTTGGAAACAAGACAATATGAACGCACGTGCACCAAACGAACGACCAACTGACACAGGCGCCCCCACACACACAAGCACTCGAAACATACAAAGCCACAGCCTCCTCTTCTGTCTTACAAGACTAGTCTATTGGGCCCTCACGACAGTGCTTTCTGTCGGTTTAAGGCTCCTGGGTCCTCTTCGGGTCGTTGGCCTGCGTCCCAAAAGCGCCACCAAGCAGCGATGTCAGGTGGACCAAGCTGCTGGTCAGGAGTGTGTCTTTCAGGCCGGGCCCCGCCCGACACGAAAGCTCCTTTCTAACACTAGTCACTATAGCAGCGGGCGAGAATTGGGTCGGAGTGCCGAGCCTGAGCAGGTGTGCTCGGCGATCACGGAGTTGCTGAGGCAAGCGCCGGTAGCTTTCCGGGCGTTCAGAGAGGAGCGACTTCTCCGTCGCGGCAGGGCCTATCACGACCCAAGCGCCGAGATCCCTTTGTATGTGGGCGGCCTCGGATCTCTCGCACGTGCTCCACTCTGTTCTGTCGACTCTTGCCAGGAGCGCATGCAGCGCCGCGAGGCCGAAGAAGCGAAGCAGAAGGAAGAGGCCGGTCGAGGGAGCCACAGGGCTGCGATGTCAACGCCCAGTTTCCGCAGCGGCTTGTGACGACCCTGATTCACATTCGAGAGCCGCAGCGCAGCGCGGCGCGCTGGAATCTGGAAAGTCATAATTCGTGATGGGCGCCTTGAGGTGTCGCCTGAGCTTGGCTTAGCCTGTATCCTTGACAATTGAATACAGCATAATACAGTCCAAAATAGCCAACGAACCCAACGCTGCGAGTCCACAACGCCATCCACAGTTTTGTGTTCGTACGACCACCGCCCCCACAAGTGTATAATTATTGGATCAGGGCTACTCCTGCTTGCTAGTGGCTGCTAGTGACACCCGGTACTGTCGAACCCAGAGAGACACACACACAATAAGCAGCAACCAGCACATCTGTGCAAGGTATTTCTGGTGCTTCTTGGGTTGAATGAACAAACGCCGTAGCAAAACCAGACAAGCAACCCTTCTCTCGTCACAGGTGTGCTTCAGACCTGCTGGCTCGTGCTGGCATAGCAGCATAGCAAAGTCGCGACAGGCTGCTCGCCAAGATCGCGAGGAGGCACAGAAGAAGGCGATGGAGGATTGGGAAAAGCGGAAGCAGGCCTCAAGCGCAGTGAAACACTTTTCTCAAGGCTGCAGGTGTGTTCGACCGACTTCGCCCAGGCAGAGCGCCAGCGCCTTGAGCGCTACGAGGAGAAGCGCCGCGCTGTCGCGAGGGTGCGGCAGCTGGGAGGGTGCAGTATAGTAATTGCGGAAGCCTCGGGCGGGGACGTCAGGACAGAAAGGATCACCGCGTAGTAGCTCTAGTGCTTGCAAAAGCGGGTAGGGTTCGGGAAGGCTCCAGCCAGCCAGAATCCCTGTGCCTATGTGTAATGAGACGTGTTGAGAGATGCTAGTTGTGACGAAACTGGCTGCGAACGCTGATGCTTTGGAGGTTGGAGATGGTGCGAGCCCAAGTTCTTCTGCATGAAGGCACTCGGCCAGCTCATCATCCGAATAAAATGCATCTTCGAGTCTTGAGGTGGAGGGACTCTGGACTTCTTGCCTGAGGACTCGGAGTTGGGCACAGGCCAGCTGACCAGAACAATGCCCTGCAATGGCATGTTTGCAAGGGGAATCAAGCGGACTAGCATTATGACATGACATGACACATTATTACCTGCAGATGTGGATGAGCATTCGTTCAGTATGCAGTCGGGGCTGCGGAGGCAACAAGGCAACCGAAGTTCCGCCTCCACAGCACTGTCCTTAAATCCCTGCGGACGCCACAGCCACAACTCCACACAATGAGAATGCGCACTCTGGCCTCAGGAAGGAGACGCACAAGGAGATCTTGGTGAACCCGAAGGTTCGCTCTGCAGCGCCGCCTGTGCTTCTGAACCGTGCTGCACGGGCGGAGCAATGCGGGCTTGCCGTGGGGGAGGGGAGTGTGTGGCGCTACGTGCAGAGCCTGGCCCGTAGCTGGATGCAAAGTGTCAATCTCAGCGACTTAAGATGGTTTTCTCGCTTGAATATTTCTCTGGATACTTGTTTCATCTTCTTTCATTCCTTGCTCGCTCTCTCAATTCTCGTACGTGCTGCTGCACTCTGACGCAAGCGAAGAAGACACATACACACAGACAGGCATCCGGATACGCATGTGTGCGTACGACCACCAACGCATCCAGGCGTTGTCTTTGATCTCCTGCCCTGCCCCGTCTGTCTCTCGCTATCTCCCCGTTGTCGTTTGTCCATCCCTTTCTCTCTCTCTCTCTTTCTATCTCTTCTTCTCTCTTTCTCTCTCTCTCTCTCTCTCTCTCTCTATTCTCTTCTCCATGCGTTTGCGCCAAGAAAAACCATTCAATACAATAGCGTTAAGTCTGTCGCACGTTGTGTCTCTCGTGTGCAGGTGACTCAGAGCCCACCGGAGCCAGTTGCCAACGGCGACGTGTCCTCACGCTTCAAAGGACAGGCAACTTCAAACCTACAGGAAGAAGCACCAGTGACCGTCGCATGAGGACCAGGAGTTAGTGGAGTGGCAGTGAAGTGGGCTGTCGTAGTAGAAAAAAGTACGTACACTGTCACTACGGCATGGTAGGACCCACCGCCACCAACAACAACAGCAGCAGCTCCACCACCCCACCAGCGCCAGCAGCGTCACGATGCGTTGTAGTGCTGGAGGCTGTTCGTGCTACCGTTACGAGCATTATGACAGCCACCGCTGCCACCACTCACGGCCGCTACTACCACCTCCGCCACCACTACTAGCAGAGCAACAAGCAGCATCTGCCAGGCTAATAGAAGCGCGCAAGTACATGCTGCTGTTGCTGGCATCGCGATAGGAGGTGGCCGCCGGAGAGCACCTTCCGACGATTCTTCTGACTGCGGTGGCTTGCCCGAAAGCAATTTACTAAGTCCAAATCCTGGCGGATGCGGTGCTGCGCTCCCCCATTCCGCGTCGACTTTCAGGTACACTTCCCTCCTTCTCGGACAATTTGTCACTAGGCCCGTCTCCGAACTTGAAATAGCAGTCCGGATGAGAAGCTTTCTTGATGATTGGACTCGGTGAATGAGTTTTTGAGACCATCAGACCCTGAACTGATTGCACTTCTGACGGCAGGTGCCTTTGAGTTTGTCGTCGATGTCAAAGAGGCCATGTTTGGTGCTAGCTGCTAGTTCTAAGCCTGATTTCAAGTGCAGGTTTTTCTCTGAGAATTGAAAGTTGAGAGCCAGCCGAAGCTCTTGCGCTGATCTTGGGAGTGCCAGGAGAAGCCACCGGCCAAGGAACCTCCGCTCGTGGAGAAGGTGCCGCGCGAAACCCCCTACTGCCTCCTTCACTCAGGGTTCAAACCATGGCGACCTTTGCGCGGCTCTTTGGAGCGAGAGTCAAACGCCCTTGTTGCCACTTTGAGTTTCTGCAAAAGCCCGAACACCTAAGACACAACGAACGAATACAGCATCGCGACAGCCTCCGGCTGCCGCAGCAGAGCAAGACCCCCCCCCCCCCCCCCCCGGAAGAATGCGGGAGCAATCTTGAGTGGCAGACGAAAGTTCCACCGAGAGGCAGTTCGGAGAGATTAGGAAGCGGACAGCTGACTAGACTAGAGGTCGGTTAAAGGTGTTGATGATGTAACTCTTCCACGGTCCCCTCACCTGAGACCCAACGGAGGCCGCGCCTGTGCCGAAGGCGAAGCCAAAGATCAGCCCAAAGATGTCGCCGGCCGCGCCGCAGCGCCGCTTCTGCGAGCAATTAGCCACGAATACTTAGCTGGTTCCAGCGTGGGCTCGAACCGCGGACCTTACTCTTATTGGCCGTACGCTCTAACCAACT